CCTGCATTTCCAGGCGGATTATCCTGCCCAAACTTTCTCCTCTCTTATCCTGAACAAAGTTATCATTATAATTTTTAATATATATTGCAGGTGAACGCAATGCTCCTTCCTGGGGAGAGAACATGGATGCCACTAAATTGCACTCTATAATTGTGTTACTAACACTGGGAATAAAAATTAATTGCCCTTTCTTCTGCTAAAATTGTAAGACAGTGGAATCCATTTTCCCTGCCCTGGACGAAGTGTTACTGTATTTTTTACTTTTACAATTTTCAAATTTGGCCCCACAATGATATTATACCCCTCCTTTTTCATTTTCCCTTTCCACTACATTTTCTGTGTCACTCCAACTACTCTTCTCATTATCTTCCTCATTTCCTACTGTATTATCTACCTGATATTCTCCCACTAAGCTAGCCCTACTTTTGATACTCCCTGTCTGCAGTTTTTCAAGAGATGCCGCTCTTGTGCTGGTAGAAGCTGTACTTCCTCTTAATGTATGTCTTATTCTTGATAGACAGGCAGGTTCTGGTCTCTGGACCCAACTCTCTTTGATGATCATTTTCAGACTCTTAAGGGCAAGAGTGATTGATTTTGCTACTCTTCTGGATCTTGGAGTTCTCGAAACTGTGTGTGGCACTTTGAATGCTGGGCTGTTGAACATCTCAGGTGGTTTAGAAATTCTATTTGATCTCCTTTTTAAAGGGGTTTCTGATTCTGCTATATCCATAACTCAGGTTCAGGTGCTCTGCTGCCTGAGCTGCGGCTGAGACAGGCTCATCTTCCATTTTAGTATCTTAAGGAGAAATAAGTGTAGACACCAGCCTCAACAGGTTCCTTGTCCATCCTTGGAGTTTATCTTGGTCTCCAGTCAATGTGTGCTTTCTTCACATGGTTTTTCATCCTGCATTTTAAACAAAAAAGGACATGGGGGGACAGGGGACTGGGGGACAAGGGAACAGGACACTGGGGAGGAATGGGACACATAGGGCACAAGGGGGAAAGGGGTCAGAGAAGGGACACACAAGTATGGGAATGCATGGAAGAAGGGGACATGTAGTGCAACATCCTAGAGAGGAAAATGCCTTGAACAATTTGAAAGCATGTTGTAAACACCTACTCTATAACAAGTTCTTGAAACATATCTATCCAGGTCCCACCCATCTGCAATCTAAGTCAACCAGGACACAACCCACCAGGCTCTAAATGCCAAACAGGGACACAAGTGTAGCTATCCACCAAGCTATTTATCAATCAGGACACAACCCACCTGGGTCTAAATCACACATCTTGTCCCATGTAATCTCAGTTACACTACTTTCTGTAGATCTTCCATATGTTGTTGTGATTCATCCATCTTCTTGCTCTGTTCCAACATTGTTCTTACCATGCTTGGATCTTTCTTTCTTTTCCTTACTCTCGTTCCCATTCCTTCATCCTATCTTCCAGTTTCTTGTATCAAAGTTCTTGTTTCAATCTCTGCCTCAGGGCTTCCAATTCTCTGCATTGAAGGTTTCCTCCTGCTTTCCCGTTCACATTTGGTATTCTGGTGTCTGGTTCTTCACTGGTGTCCTCTAGGGTATAATTTAAACTGTCCATTGTTATTCTCTGTTTACACTGTTCATGACTTGTTGCTTCATTGTTCCTTTGTGTCTGTGGTATTTACTCCGGGTTCCTTGATTAATACCAATGCTACCACTTTTGTAGTAAACACCTATGCCATAATAAGTTCTCAAAACCTATTTTTCCAGGTCCCACCCGTCCGCTATCTAAGTCAACCAGAACACAACCCACCTGACACTAAATGCCACCCAGGACAAGGGCGTATACAGGGGGGGGGCATGGGGGGCAGTGCCCCCCCCCTAGACTTGTAAAGGGGGGGGCGTAGCCCCCCCCTAGAATTCTGCAAGCCTTTCACACTTTTCAAATCTTAACTGAAGAGTGAAGAACACAAAAAAAATAAGTTTGCTTTTCATGATTATTATAAAAAATCAAAATTTTAAAATATATATAATTACAGTGCAGTGCTCATGCTGTAACCAAGTTAACCTAACCAACCTAACCTAATTTTAACTTTTAAGTTCACAGAGTACACAGAGTTTAGTTGGGTTCAGAGAACACACAGTCTGCATACATTTGTACAGCTCACACACTTTACATTATATGCTAGTCTTGTTTAGTAGTGATGTGAGTCTGTTAAAAGTTGCCGTTGTGACTGGTATCTGTGAATTGCTGATTAATAATTATCATGAATCAAATACTGTTAATTATAAGCCTTGAGTTATCATTCATTCTTAGATTGCAGCAATTGTACTCCTACTTTTTTTCACAACAGAAACTTTTACAAGTCATAATTATTTTCTGGACCTTTGTACTTCTTTTCATCTCATAGAATTTAAGTTTAAGTTAAGTTTTATTTTCAAAAATGTCTTTTACTATCTCTAGTTTAAATACTAAATATACCTATAAAAGTATAATAAAATGTCGATTTTTTAGAAACAGTGCTTAGAAGGTATAATTATTTGGACTGTATGTGTGCCTTTTAAGTATCTTATACTTATGCCTGATATCCAAGAAGCCAAGTGTTATGAATTTACAGTTCGAATTTTGCCCCCCCCTACATTTATTTCTGTATACGCCCTTGACCCAGGAACACAAGTCTAGCTTTTTAACAAGCTATATATCGATCCCAAATGATGGGGATGATCCAACCTGGTTATATCAACACAGGGTTTTGGTGCATAGGCCACAAAAGGACACAAGCCTAGATATCAATAAGCTACATTTATTGATCCCAAATATTGGGGACCATCCACCTGGCTATATCAACACAGGGTTTCAGTGCTCTAAATGCCATAGAAGGACAGGAGCCTAGCAATTAACAAGCTATCTATCAATCCCAAATGATGGGTATGATTCACCTGGCTATGTCAACACAGGGTTTCAGGATTACTCTCTTGCAGTAATCAGTATGGAGTTATGCTATAAACTAACTTTAATTAAATGTCTTATGTCATAAGTTATTGTAATTTGATGTAATTACAATTCCTACGTTGTTATCTATTTGACATGATTAAGACAATCATGTTACGGATTTACCACACAGTCAAAGTTTCGTGTATGTATTGATAAGATTAGCAAGAATAGATATAACGTAGTTAATATATCTCCCCATATGTTTACAGCGTAATTTGAAGTATATCACATGATTTAATTCAATCATGCTACATACTCCATTAATACGCAGTTTCAATGAATAATGTCATTATGTACAAGTCTACAATATATATTGGTAATAATGTACAAAGTACTGCAGGTTTACAAAATATCATGCTTACACGATATTTGCTTATAGCAAAACTTGAGTTTCAAAACGTAATTTTATTTCTTGCACTTTTTGCGACATATTTTAAGATTTATTTTCTAAACGACTGACTAATAAAGACAGCTTACAATATTGTACACCACAGGGGCATTAACAGAGGTCAATATTGTCTTATTTCTAAGAAATAAATGATTTAAAGTTGTCATTTTTATTCCTGATAACAAATTGAGGTGGTGACAAATTGAGGAGTGCAAGCATGCTGCAAAAGACGTTTAGGTGGTTGTGATTACAAATTGAGGACTTCTGCACTCCCCCCCCCCTGCCCCCTCCCACTATAAAAGGAATACATCTAGCTGTTGCACACTATGAAATGGATAATTGTTTAACTTTAAAAGACCCATAATTTCATCCTCTGGCCCCAAAATGTATATTCTTGTTATTGTGTTTAAGAAATATTTCATTAAAAAAGTTCTTCCATTGTCGAGGGTCTTCACTAAGGTTGTGTAAAAAGGCTCTGTCAACCTTTCATTTCAAAATATTTTCGTATCTCTTCCTTTGCCTACAGGATTGACAGATTTTTTTATAAGTACTTTCTGTTTCACAAATCTACATAAACATGGCACTTTTTCTGTCTTTTTTTTCTTCTTTCTTCATTAAGTTATTTTGGGACAGATATAACAACTGAAAAGTACTGGGCTTTACCTGAATAATGATAATAGTAGGATTAATTTTTGATTATTAAATATTGAAGAAAATTTATAGACTATGTATATAATTTGATTAAAAAAATAAATTTTCGGCCCTATGTAAAACTTTAATTTGTTTGTCAAATGTGAAGATTACAATAAAAAGTATTGGCTAAAAATTGTGATTCACCTGTTCGACATTACTCTCATAGAAGGTTTTTTTAAAATTTAAATTTAGAAATTAAGACTTCAAAATTTCACAAAATTTAGTCGAAATTACATGAAATATAAATTTTTCTATTGATGCACAATAATTGAAAAATTTTACGCAACTGCTAGTAATTCCGCGTAATTCCAAGTAATTTTGCGTAATTAAATCATTAATAATGTTGGAAACCCTACTTTACAGAGGGTAACATTAAATTATAAAGTTAGATCTTGACAATTCTCTAAATATATATCATCAAATGACGGTAAAAAATGATCAATTTTTAAGAATTAAGGTTCTTTAGAATTAGGATAATTGTAGGCATTGCATTTGTGGCCTTCATGTAAAATGATTAAAATCTAGATTACCAAGACTTTTATTGAACATTTTGTGAAAGTTGATCTTTAATCTACACAACACACAAATCATCAAATGTAAAAAAACTAATTTTCAGCTTCAACGCCAAATTGGGTTTCAACTTCTGGTATGATTTCAATTCTGTAAACTCAAATGGTTGTTGCACAATGCACATTTTTTTGTCAAATAAATCAATTAAACACGCTTAAAAGTCAATTTATTGATCTTGTGAAGAGGTTGCAAATCATTAAATCAACTACATCAACATTTTCTCTGAGCAAAAGAATTGGGAAAGAATTAAGAAGGGTATAAGTTCTTTGCTATAGTGACTAGTTTAACCATGTAAAGAGTGCACTGTAAAAAAGAGTATCTTCATTATAGACATTTGACAAATGATCAATGCAAATAAATAAAAATACAAATCTTTAAAGACATTGATATATTTATTTTTTAATTTTTAAGAAAACAGCATTTACATCAATATTTGATTTCAAACCCAAGAACGTATAAAAAGAAGAGCTGATGCTAATGAAAATATATTTGTAAAAGTTCTAACTGCAGATGATTCTGTCCGTCCTTCATAATTGTAGAAAGAGGCAATATTTGACCAGGTTTTCTTCTTCCCATCTAAGGATATTGTGACAAGTCTGAAGAAATACTGTTGTCCAACCTGAAATCTGTCAACACTTACATTTAGCTCCACTTTAGTGCCCGCTGCAGTAGGGGCTAGCTGATCAGAATTTAAGACATCAGTACTGTTCAAACTATCAAGAAAGTTATTTATCAAAGTTACATTCACCAAGTCTGTTGAGTTTTGAGTGAAGAAAATTTTAAACTCTCCAGCAGTGCCAGAATCTAAAACATTGCCAGCAGATGTGAAGTAGAGGGTAAAGTATGCACGATTATCGGGGTTATTACCAGTCCTAAGATCTGTAACTTTAGCTGGTGGATAACTGGCTTTGTCTCCATTAACAATCTCAATAGATCCTCCAGCAGATGATCTTGTGAAGGCTCCAGTAGGCGTGAGAGTTGAATCTTCCCTTACAGTGTTGCTGCCACAGCAAATGGGATTTCCTCCAGTTGGATTGCTTGGGAGGGATTTTAACTTTGGATGTCTCTTTACATCAATAAATCCTTCATTTATTTGGGTATCATCAGAACCTTCAACTTGACACTTTAAGCTGTAACGTTTTGAACTGCTGCTTGGATCAAAACTAGTAAAATATCTGGCATATAATCCATCATTTGCAACAGTATCAGGCTCAGAACCTGAGTCTGACAGAGAGATTTCTAATGGAATAGGATTATCATCACGCTCGATATAAGCTGTAACCTTTGCCCCAATCACTGGGTTAGTTCCCTGCAAAACCCTTGCAATTACAGCAATTTTAATGTCATTAGTCATATCTGCTTTTTTGTTACCAATACTTGTCCAGCAGTTTGTCATGACTGGAATAGTGTCTGTCATAGATTTCGCTGTGATCTTTACACTTGCAAATCCAATTGTACTAGTGCTATTTACAGAAACAGTGTAGTAACCTGGAGCTAGTTCAGAGAATGACTTTAAATAGACACCATTTTCTTCAGTGAATTGATCTGGTACATTGTCAACAACAATATCAGCCCCTTTGTTACCAGAGAAGTCAATTTGAACAGAAACATCTTTCCCAATCAACTCATCTATGGTAAAATTAAAAGAAAACTCCATGATATTCTTATATGTTGTTTCATAAATAACTATATCCACTTCATTTGATGGAACTGCAGGTTGATATGTAAGAGAACCTTGCATAGCAGTATTGATTACTTCTGGACCAGAATTATCAGGAACAAAAAAAGCTTTTCCGTTTGTCTCCTCTGCAAGTTTTATAATGTCTTGATCTGCATTGTTACTGAAAGCAATTGTAATGACTCTTACCTCTTGTGCCTTAATTAATGGAATTGCTTGGGCTATTGTAGTTTTATCTGGCATATCTGGGTTTTTACAGTCAAACTTTCCATCAGTTAGAAATATCATTACACCTCCTTTTTCAACACCACCATTCTTAAAAACTTTCAATCCTTCTTTTAATCCTGCACCAAGGCAAGTGCCTCCATCTGCATTTAAATTGTCAAGTGCTTTGGCAATGTCTGCTCTACTCTGATTGTTAACTGGTGTTAAATTTACTACTGTGGAGGCTTTAGAGCTAAACTTTGCTACTCCAAGAGGAACTCCATCGTCCAGGTCATATGTTAACCATCTTTTTGCAGAAGCCTTAAGTCTGTCTAATCTGAAATAGTCCCCCATACTACCGGACACATCAAGAACCATGACAAAACTTGAAGATGTTTTTGATCTAAGAATTTCAAAACTTGGGGTTCTACTCTCTTCTGTGTTGTTGTTCAAATAATCTTTAAAGTCTGGATGATTTTTTATAATTTCAAATGTACTTTGACCTCCACACATGTCATTATGCTTTGTTGGTATGTCTGCCTGATGCAACAGGATTTCAGAATCATCACAAAATTGGTTATTTCCCTGTAGATATGGAATTGCCATGATAGAGGACTTGACCATGTTGCCATCTCCCAGAACTGGAAAACAGTTTGAATCTGGAAGTCCAGTTTTCTCATCATATCTACAAGCCCCGCCATATTTCCAATCCTCAAGTCTGTAATCCACAAGACCTTCATTGGTACAAAAGTTTGGAGCTATTTCATTGACTTGACCTTGCATTGTCCACTGAGACTTGTAATAAAACATCGGATATTTCTCGTCCCCTGGATATCCAAACTCATCAAAAACTCCATACCGGTACTTTGCCCATTCATGAACAAACACCTGTCCTGGAGGTCCAAAAGTACCTTCAATATTTCCATAATTTTCTATAAACTCATTTGAGATCTGGATGTATTCTCCTTCCTCTCCGCAGCCACTGGTTTGAAGAGTGAAGGGTGAATTACCATATACTCCGCTTTTAGTATTAACTTGAACATCACCATCTTGGAAGACCACACTTTCCACAATAGTTGCATTGATACTGGTCCATGATGAAGGTATTAGTATTCTAAACAAAAATGAAAAATTTCTAGAAAGATTTTTTTGAAGATTCTTATGGTTGAGTTGGGAATGAACAGTCCAAGCTGTGCTATTTTTTATTATTCAGCTGAAAAAAAAACATCATTAAAAAAACAAAAAATAATTTTTTATTTGCAATATTTTATTTAGCTTATTTTCAATTGTAATTCAAAGCTAACTTTATTTAAATAGGTGGTATATTTCAGCTTAAAACTGTTCAGTATTATCTCATTAACTGAATTCTGAACATTTTAGTTATAATTTATTAACAAAAACCGAAAGCTAATTCCATTTCATTTTTAATCATTATGTACTTACTTAACACTTCTGATGAAGACCCAACCCCTGCTTGAAATATACAAAGTTTCACTTCCTTCTTTAATCCAAGACTGTATATTTTCTGTAAATAACTTCTCGTAAATTCATGGAAAAAGGTCAAAAGCAATAGTTCTTTCATAAGATTTGTATACTAAAACTAACAGAGATTACTACATAAATAAAGTAGTAATCTCTGTTTGGATGTCCGAGCATAACTCATGAACCACTTGACTAATTTGCCTTAAATTTGTATTAGGGAACTCAATAAAATCAAGGCTTATCATGGTTCAAATTTTCTTAGTTGAGTAGGCTATAACGGCAGAGCTTGGTTCCCAGGATAGTTAGATATTATTTTCAAGGGGACATTTAAAGATTTTTTTTAAATGGTCCATTGTACATTATAGAATACTCTAGCCATTGCCCAAACATTTTATCATTGTGTTGGAAGTGTTGAAAAACCAGTTTCTGTAGATTTAAATGACAAAGCTGTTTGTCGCTAACATAAGTAAAAAGAAATAGAAATGAAGATATCTAATGATTTTAATTCTATCATTGTTATTGATACAGTGATAACCAAAAAATTCTGAAATAGGAAGATGACATAACAGCAATATTTAAGTGAATTTGATGTTGTTACAAAGCAAATAGTTTTTTTAAAACACTTTTTAAGTAAAATGGATCTTTTAAACTGGACAATTGCTGTGTTCCATGCTCATTGGACTATTCAAAGTCATAACTTGAATCCGTAAGTCGTCTTCCTATTCCAGAGTTTTCTGGTTATCACTGTACAGTTCAACATGTCCTGGGTTATTTTCAACAGGTCGCACACAAAGATAGGAATTTTACTACAAGGTGTCCCAAACAACATGGGAATTCAGTGATGAATTCAATATTGTCTTTGTCATGAATTAGCATTGTAATACCTTGTTTCGCTACTTAGCGATTTCCCTAAAGACCTAATATATGTACCGTGTGGTATTTCTCAGGATTGGATC